TTTTCTTCAGAAGGTGTTTTAATGAAATATTTAGAGTAAGAGCAATGCTTTCAGCTCACATTTTGGAGCTTCATTAAGTAGGATGCCCACTAGCAAAGAGGACTTTGATTACTGTTGCCAACATATAGATGATAAAATAACAAAAGGTGGTTAAGAAGGAAAATGGGAGAGCTTTGTGGCCCTTCCCTCTCCTATTTTCAAATGAAAATATTCAAAGATTTGCAGGTCTTCGCCCTATTATTTCCCAGTTCAGCCTATCACTACTAGTTGTCCACCCATCATTCTGATCTGGATCATTCTGTTCACACCATACAAGAGAACATGTCCATGGTGGGATTCTCTAGACTCACATCACACATTGTTACAGGACAGGCTTATGAACTGAGATGAATTGGCAGTCAGTGCACTGAAAGATCAGTTATTGTGACTTGGTCAATAGTTTACTGATGGCAAATTCTGAAGTTGAAGTACTCATCATGGTAGTCTTCATGGTCATACTCCTAATAACAGCTCCCAAAATGCTGGCAGCTGACTCGATCAACAAACTAATTCTAGGAGTTAACATCTTAAACATTATTTTGTAAAAATATTAGTTATTAATTGCCTATTGTAGAACAAATTGTCTATTGTAGACTAAACCATTCTGAAATGCTGTGGATTACAATAGGGATAGCTCATAACAATGCATTATTGCTAAGAAATCTGCATGCATGCACATACACACACAATTACAGTGGGAATTCCAGTTTAGATGGAAGCCAGACCTGGATGTGGCAAATTATATAACCAGAAAGTCCTAACATTGTGTCCCAGCAATCTTGGACTCCACTATACCATTGAAGACCATGAATGCAGTTGCTATTTTAAGGTCTCCAGCTCACTCCTCCTTTTTATGCTTCTGAAAAATGAAAAACCCTAATCTCATAAACCTGAAGATTTGAAGTAGCTGTTCTTTCATGAAATGTCATTTGTCCAAAACATAATACCTTGCCCTTACTGCTCTCTCTCTCTTTTTCCAGGATGACCCATTTTCTGCCTTGGACATTCATCTGAGTGACCACCTGATGCAAGAAGGTATCCTGAAGTTCCTTAAGGATGACAAAAGGACACTTGTATTAGTGACTCATAAACTGCAGTACCTTCCACATGCTGACTGGGTAAGAGATTCATACATGTATTTTTTACCATTGTACCAGATCCAACCAAAAAAAAACTGTCTAAAGGTGCTGGTCTTGACATGAGCAGGACATGATAGGAATAGACACTTCCTGTTTTGGTTTGATTTGTGTGTCCCCCTCCCCAATATTTAGTAATTAGAAGAACCTTAATGTTGATAAGTAGAACACTTTTGCCTCTCATACTTACTAGGCTTGCCTCGTCTGAACATGCTGTCCTCTATTTGAAAGACATCTAAGATAATGGCTACCATTATACCTTGTGGCAATGTATTTTGTGAAATAGTTGTATACTGCATGATAGATTATTTTGTTTTGTCCTCAGCCTATTTCTAGTCAATTTCATTGAATGCCTTCTAGCATTTTCAAAATGACAAAATAATTCATCTCTGCCGATATATTGCTACCACAGTCTTAATTTTCCTCTATCAAGACTGTTTCTGCTCCTTCTTTTCTATGTAGAATCGCACATAATTTACACATGCAACCATTCAAATGAATGTAGTGCTCATGTGATATTGGATTATAATTATTCTTGAAGATCACACAGTCACATGCCCCTGGAAAAAGATTTCTGAATAGAGTTGAAGGCTTTCATGGCTGGCATCCATAGTTTTTTGTGGGTTTTTTGGGCTGTGTGGCCATGTTCTAGAAGAGTTTCTTTCTGACATTTTGCCAGCATCTGTGGCTGGCATCTTCAGAGAATATTGGAATGGAAGAGAGTAGATATATATATATATACTGTGAGACCCTGGGTAGGGAGGAGTGATTCCCATGTAAACTGTGTATTGTTCTGTTGTTGATGGCAAGGCCTCAGGGAGGGAGGATATGCAAATGAGGATTAGTGTCTGCTAATTGGTGATCATTGGGATCTGGTAGACCAGGCAAAACACATCTGTGAACCCCCACTTCTTGGAAGAGGAATTGAAGCACCTAGACTGGGCTCTACAGGTAATGGTTACTCCAGCTCAGACATCAGAAGGGCTGCCAGACCCAGAAAAACCCAGAGGAGTGAAGACACGCAATCACCCAAAGGGAAGATATTTTTACCATACATCAAAGGAGTCACAGACAGAATAGGGAAAGTGGTGAGGAAACACAACCTCCAAATGGTTTACAAACCGACCAAGAAAATCCAACAAATGCTGCGCTCCGCGAAGGACAGGAGAGACCCTCTCACAGCTGCAGGAGTTTACCGCATACCATGCAGCTGCGGACAAATTTACATAGGAACCACCAAACACAGTGTCCAAACACAAATCAAGGAACATGAGAGACACTGCAGGCTGGGTCAGCCAGAAAAATCAGCAGTAGCAGAACATATTATAAACTATTCTGGGCATAAAATACTGTTTGAAAACACTGAAATTCTGGACCATGCCAACAACTATCAGTTCAGAATGCACAGGGAAGCCATTGAAATCCACAAACACTTGGACAACTTCAACAGGGAAGAAGAAACCCATAAAGTAAACAAAGTTTGGTTACCAGTCCTACAAAATAGAAAAATCAGCACTCAGCAAATGCAAATGAGAAACCACCCAGGGTCAGGGGCTTTCCCAGCAGACAATGATCACCAATTAGCTGACACTAATCCTCGTTCGCCTATCCTCCTACCCTGAGGCTTTACCACCACAAAAAACTATTTCTGAATAGACATGGTTTGAAAATTCAAAGTGGGTTGCTTTGATTATCACAGGAAAACAAGGCTGAAACAGAGCAAGATAGTGGCACCTTTCTCTGTGCCTTCACACATGACATCGTAGTGCTTCAGTTCTGTTCCTGTAGGAGATAGTCATCAAAGCAAGCCTTTTTTTTCTAGGATTTTTCTAGGAAAAATCCGTTAAACAAAATACTCACTTTGAAAACCATCTCTCATGAGAAGAGAACTGAAGTTCTATGGCATCATGCAGTAAGGCACAGAGAAAGGCACTACTCTCCATCTCTGTTTCAGCTTGGTTTTCTAGTGGGATAAGACTCTATGAGTACTCACAAAGGTGGTCACTGTCCACAACCAATCCTCATAGACCTGGTTCCTGCAGTTAGATGTTACCATACAGTTGTGTAGGAACCAGGACAACAAGGATTTGTTTGTATCAAACTGTTTGCTCCAATCTTTTTTTTACAATTGACTTTCAACCCAGAAAAGCTATCCACCATGAAACATGGAGCCAATTCATTACTTATGAATCTGTCCTAACTTGTGTAATTGTCCACTCAAGTAGATGGAGCTACCAGAGATAATACCCCTGGTAAGCTGTTTAGTTATTGCTATGAGGAAGAAAAGTTTCAAATGCAGAATGAGGGCTAGTTGAATATCCCCTTTTCACTTCAAAAATCAATCAGGTGTTTTACAAGCATTCTGTTTAAGTATTTGAGAAACTTGAATAGCTTTTGCCGGTACTCAAGAGATTGAAATCTGAAAGCAATAGTTTTGCCATCTTGCCTACACACACCTCATCATGCAAACCAGAAGAGAAATATAATGACCTGCAAGAGCCACATAATAATTAAATGCATATATGAACTCTGAACTCATCCTCTAGTTAAAGACTCCCAGAACAGAAAGTAGAAAAATGACCTTGCTTTTAGGACATGTCACTTTAGGATTATTTAAAGGTTCTAGTGTGCTGATTTACCACATTCTTCCTCTAGAATGTAACCCATCCACCAACCATGCTAATCTCTGGAAGTCTGGAGTCAGAGACCAGTAAGGTTAGCACTGATAACACAATCCAGATGAAGAAACAACATACAATGAATACATTGAATTACCCCCCCAAATCCCAATTCCTGCATTTGTAACACTGAACTGAGACTTTCAGTGTGGGTAATGGGAGACTCATTGATTGACCCAATTACATGGGTTGCCCATTTTTTCAAAGCAGCAAGTAACTTTGTGCGATTATGGGTCTTCCTTTTTAGATCATTGCCATGAAGGATGGTACTGTGCTCAGAGAAGGGACACTGAAGGACATCCAGACGAAAGATGTAGAGTTGTACGAACACTGGAAAACTCTAATGAATCGCCAAGACCAGGAATTAGAAAAGGTAACAGCAAATAAGGCTGCGTGCAAGGCTACCTAGTAACCCATGTTTTGTGCATTATATTAAGAGTCAAGATTGTTTGTTTTCAAAGAAAGCTGAGTTATATTTCCATTTCCCTTTAATGGCATAATAGGATTCATACTTGCTTCACTTATGACATGTGCCTTTTTGATCCATCCTTCAACTGAAATTAATAGGAGATTTCTAACTAAAGTAGATACGTTGACTCAGTGGAATGTACACAAGTGTTGACTGACCAGGTTTTAATTTATTTAATAACTCTAAGGGGGGTTGCAGACTGCCAGAAATAGTGCAAATTGAGTTCACTTTTAGGGTTAGGTTAGTGCTAGGGAATCATGGGAATTGTTGTTGTTTTTTCTGAGACATTGAGCCTTCTCTGTCAGAGAGCTCTGGTGCCACAATAAAATACAGTTCCCATGATTCCCTAACCCTAACCCTAACTCTTAAAGTGGACTCAATTTGCACTATTTCTGGGAGTCTGCAACTCCCCTAATGCAGTTGGGACTAACAACTGGATGTAGGCTTTGATCACCTCATATAAATAAGGTCATAAGCTATACATTCAGTAAAAATTTATTATTACTACAGTTTCAAATGGACCAGCAGAGTCCTCAGTTTGTTATTTGCATGTTGGAATATTCAGTATATTTTCATTCCCCTTGGTGGAAAGACACTACTTTTCTTCTGTTCTAGATTTCTTTCAATAGTTTTCCCCTTCCCTTTTTGTATTTTGTTTTTTGGAAAAGGCCTATGAAAGCCAGCGTGGTGTAGTGGTTTGAGCATTGGACTATGACTCTGGAGGCTAGGGTTTGAATCCCTGCTTGGCCTAGAAGGCCACTGGGTGACATTTGGCAAGTCACACTTTCTCAACCACAGAGAATTGCAATGGCAACCCCCCCTCTGAAGAAACGTGCCAATAAAACCCTATGATAGGTTTGCCTTAGGGTTGCCATATGTCAAAAATGACTTGGAGGCACACAACAAAAACAATGTTTGCAAATCCAAGGACCAAAGCATGAGGACCCGGTCGCCTTATTCTATATGTCACCTTGCCAAATGAAGGTGCTGTTTTTGTCATCTTTAATCTGCTTTAGTCAAAAACAGGTGCAAATGGTCAAATATTATTGTAGTTGTGGCCTCTCTAGGAGACAGATGCTTAAGGACAATAGGGTTATATGTGGTCATGTGAAACTACCTGACATAGCTTAATCTGAGCAATTTGTTATTTGAGCATAGTTTGAACTACCCTCCTTTTTCTCAGATTCACTACCAGCTTGCCTCTAGCTTGATATTTTTGTTAGATCTGTTTCTTCTTCCTTCCCTACGAAAATGTTTACAATTTCCACCTTTTTTTCCACATCCTGAGAGCCACTGCTACTTTTCCTTATCCATGTCTCTGTCCTTTATCTGCACGCCTCCATTTTGATAGGAATCGCCCTATTTGGATGATCAAACCCTGGCTTAATCCTACTAAGCTATCTCTTCAGGAAAGTGAGCAAACAAGCCAAGAAGCCACAGTTAAACATAACTTCCTATTACATACCTTGTCAGATCAGAGTGAAGTGATATGTAAGTGGGTGTGCTGTTTTAATATAGATTGTGCATTTTTAATTTTAATGTTTCAAAAATAGTGTTTTAATTGAATGTACAATTTAATTCTTTTTAAACTTTTGAAATTCATCATGTTTTAATTTATGATGAATCCCATTTGGGAGAAAAGGGTGATGACATCCAAAAAAGCCAAGATTTGGAAGCTAGCTTATATCATAGGTTCATATCCTGGCTAGTTTGGAAGCAATTAACCATAGTTTACTGGTTCTGCAATAATAAAAATCTATGGTTAATTGGGGCTTCCTTGGCTTGTTTCCCCACTTGCACAAATGGAGAAGTCAAGCTTGTACATTGTCCAAACTGTGGCACTGTGTTCCAAACAGAAAACAGTGTCTGAGATCTGGCACAAACACCATCATAGTTTTGTCATATGGGTTCTATTTTGTTCTAAGTATCCTTGCACCAAACATTTCAGTCTTAAAATCTTGTTGGCAGGATATGGAAGCTGACCAAACTACTCTAGAAAGGAAGACTCTCCGGAGAGCTATGTACCCAAGAGAATCTAAAGCACAGCTGGAGGATGAGGATGAAGGTAATTATATAGCTAGCACGTGTAGGGTTAAAGTCAGAAAAGCTAAAGCGCAGAAT